AAAACCAGTCCCTCCGCCGCCAAATCCATTACCAGTGCCAATTCCTGATCCGCCTCCCACACCCGTCCCTCCGCCGCCGAATCCGGTACCACTGCCTATTCCTCCGCCTCCCACACCTGTCCCACCACCGCCAAATCCTGGTCCGCCACTTCCAGCTGCACCTCCGGCCTCTGAATCATCATCTTCACTGTAAGTTTCCCCTGTGAAATACACATTCTTAAACAATGTAACCAAATCTTGCAGCTCAAGTATCATATATGTTTGTGTCTAGTGCAGAATGAATGACGAACCTAGAAAGGAAACCAAGAGGAGAAAAATAACGACAAGGGTGACCGATACCCGTAGCTCTCTAATCAGTGACAACACCATTGTTAGAGATTCAGAAGAACATAATCGTCTTAAATAAAAATTTATTTCAGGTGTTTCTGGGAAATTTCAAGACTTGTAGTACAAGTAAGTAGAATTTAGTAGTTTCTTATAGAGGGTAAAAAAATACAGAGGAGAATTTTGAGGAGAGAGAGCAGTTGAGTACAAGTCACCAACCCCTCTTTCTTTTTTACGTTGTCTATTGTAAACCATTTATTCACTGCCATGAAATAAAACCATATTAGGAAGAAAACAAACAAAAATCAAACCTAAAAGTGATCTCAAGATTCAACACGTACGAAAGCATTTTACAAAACTAACATAAATACATATTCAAACCAAATCTAGAACTAGAAGTGATCCCAGATGAGAATAAAAGAGCTTTGTAAATAAAATCTCATCCACCACACCAACATGTTCACAAGTTACTCTAGGAAGATATTGCTTAACTAGGATTACCATTTCATGCGGTTTTCGCGGGCCTTCCTTGAGACTTGCGGTCTCACCATTCCATGAACTTTACTAAAACAGGGTATTTTGTTCCATGATTTGAAAAAAAGAATTAATGGCTAATAAACTTTATGTATTAATTCTCTTTTTTCCTTTCTTATTAATATCCAGTATATTTCAAATATATGATTTATTCTCATTGTCTTTACTTTCAACATTTTACAAGGGCTTGTTGTGTATCTTTCACACTTTGGGAGCCACAAGTTACAAAAGCTTTAGGCAGAAAATACAAATTAGAAAAATAAACACCCATCCAAGAAGCGACCCTTTGATGCTTCTTTACAGATTAAAAAACCTTAAAATTTCTTGAGTAATTTCAAAAGAAAAATAAGCTATCTCTTTCTATATGTAGAGGAAACACTCTCCTTTGTTTAAAGGGTTTCCTTATTTGTTGCTTCTTTTTATATGCCTCCGTCAAACTTGAGGTTGGACCAAAATAGTATGTTTAATATCACCAATATGCAATTTATGTTCACCCATTGGGATTCTCCTCTTCCCATACTCATCCACTACACCAAGATGCTTGCAAGCATCAACATGTACTTGAACGGTCCGTTTTGCCCCTGCCGTGACATGAACCTTCTCAAACGCTATCAATTGTTTGTTCATACCCAATCCTTTTATTCCGTTTATCGGCGGCTCGGCGTAGACGAACACCGTGTGGGTTCCGTCCAATTCACCGGTGTTTGCGACTTCGACGTGGATGGGCATTTTCGGAAATGTGTCGCAGTTGGCGTGAGACACTTTGATGGAGTGTGATGAGGAGTTGAACAAGACGGAGTTGAGATTGTGAGGTGAAATCGATAGTTGGGCCAGTGGGTTTTGGGCTAAAGTGTGAGTGAAGGTTGTGTAACTTAAACCGAACCCAAATGGAAAGACCACTGGACCTTTGTAGAATCTGTATGTCCTTCCTGGGTAGTTTCCAGATGCTCTCATGGCCATTATCGTCATTGGCACTTTTGCCACGTAATCTTGTGGATACCATGTCATTGGTAGTTTTCCTCCTATCATAAGATACATGATAAAATATTCACTCACTATAAGTTCATTTATCCAGTTATACTTAAAATAATTATATATATGTGATTCCCCGATTTGAAATGTGAAGCAAAATTTACTTTGGTCTGAAGAAAACAAATCCTTATTCAAAAATTTGAATTGGATCAGCAGTAACGTACCGGGATTAGCAGCACCAAAGATGATATTAGCAATGGCAGCTCCACCCGCTTGACCCGGATACCCGGCCCAGATGATGGCAGCGACACGTGGATCGTTTTTAGCGAAAGATACATCGATGGGCCCGCCACTCATAAGGACCAGAATGACCGGACCTCTAGAGGCCTGAGCCACACGGGTCACCAGGTCTTGTTGGTGACCCGGTAAGAGCAGCCCGGTTCGATCTCGTGTCTCTGCCTCTATTGATTGGTCCAGTCCCATCACAAGAACCGTTGCGTCGGCTTCACGCGCCGCCGCCTCCGCCGCACCAAATCCTTGGTTCCCGGCGCAAGCTACGCCGGCGCAACCAGCTTGGTGCAATGTTCTCGCGTATCTTGAGATTCCCTGCAACGGCGTCGTATAGGCGCATGCTTTTCCTATCAAAACAAAATCAAATTTTACACCAT